GAAAACACTTACCTTGGCCAAATCTAACGCCTCACCAAAAGCCCTATCGTTAAATAAATTTAACACCACTGTTCCACAAATTTCATTATCAGTTAGCGACTGACTCGCCGTATCACTCCCACATTTTTGGTGGTGACTGTGAGATAGAATGCTGTTCGTTTTATCCCCTTCCCCGATATTTTTTTCGCGAACGATACTAATATCTAAATAATAGCGGTGGTGAGAAGAAAAAAATGTTTAACAAACTTGATAGTGAAAATGAAACGATCGGAATAGGAGAAGGCGCTCGGATAAGTCCGGACCAGGCCAACGTTTTTTTAAGAGAACTTGCCCACACGTTCAAGGAAGCCGGGTTTGGTAATAACCGGGTTGAGAAAAGAGAGAACAACTGGGTAAGGGTGAGGAACTTTTACGGGGAAGACGAAGAAGACCCATTCAAATGGCTCGAGGCATTCGAACGAGCCACAAATGCCAACAATTGGATGGGTAAACAGAAAATTAGCATAGCATCCGGGTATCTAGCAGGAATCGCTGCGGATTGATACTATGATAAGAAGGCCATACTTACCAATTGGGATAATCATGATGACCCTGATAGGAACTTTGTATCATCGTTTCTCCAGTACTTCGTCACGTCCGAACGAAAACACCAATGGCAGGTAGAACTAAACACGTTAACACAGAAAGACGGAGAATGGGTTGGGACATACGCCTACAAGTTCAAAAGATTACTAAAGAAGGTCGACCCAGAGAATGCGCTACCACAAGCATACATAGTGCGAATGTTCATCGGAGGACTGAAAGAAAAAACAGCATCCTTATTATCTGTGGTAGACCCGCACAACTTAGAGGAAGCCATCATAGGGGCCAAGAGAATCAAAGCTGGGGACCATTATGGGAAAACTACGATGGAAGGCGGTATAGGAAATGCTCCATTGGAAACCACAGTAGGGAAGTTATCGCAGACCATCCAAGAATTGGTTGCTAAGTTCGCCACCTTAGAATCCGCACCTAGAAAAAGGAATGGAGTAAGTAATGAAGCCTGTTTTACCTGCGGAAGGAAGGGACACTATGCGAAAGACTGCCCAACACAAGGGAAAACATGAACTTTCGAAACAATAGGGACAAACAACCGTCTAGACAGACCGAAGCACGAAATCCTCAGACTCACAGAGACGAGCAACTGGCAACACAAACAGAAGCCCGTTTTGGAGAATTGGTAAGTAACGAAGGAGAGGAGAAAGCATTTATAGGAGTAAATTGGTACCAGCCCTACAATACCCGAAACCGAAACAATACCAGACGTGATCAAGAAGCCCCTAGAAACGAGAAAAATGAAGTTATCCAATCCAGGGTGGTGATAGAAACAACAGATATAACAATAATGGACAAAGATCCGCCACCAGCAATCGATAAGGAACCAAGCAACACACTGCGAAGAGCCCCACGCAAAAAGAAAGGACCATCAAGGATTGAAATGAAATCAACGTATAATATAGTCGATGATCTATTGGCAGCACCTGCAAATGTTACCTTGGCACAGATGTTGCAGTACCAGGACCAGAAAAGGAACCTCGCGAAAGCTCTAAAACGACCGACCATACCAGAAGAAACAATGTTCACAGGCGCGTACGAAAGAAGGACGACTGCTACGAAGTGTCGGATCCGAATTCACGGTCAACCTGTCACAGCCATAGTGGATACAGGAGCTGCTGTTAGCTTCATCACAAAGAAGATGATGGACAGGTTAGGACTAACGATTGAAGAAAAATCGACATCGGTTATAATTACGATTACAGGCACGCGATCCAGGGCATTGGGAAGAATCGAAAATATCAGCATCACCATTGGAGGTTGAGAAATCCCATGTCCGTTCTTGATACTAGAATCTACAGACAAAACTTTGCTGCTGGGTAACGATTGGTTCGAAAGAGTCAAAGCTTGCATAGACTTTCATGAGAGAAAGATGTTCATACGTTACCAAGAGAAGGCAATGGAAATACTGATCTTTAATGAGGATGAGGAAGGACCAGAGGAAGAACCAGAGTATAATGAAGATGAGCTTCTAGACGTACTACAATACGAAGATGAAGAAGTAGAAAGTACCGAAGGGTATAGTGCCGAAAGAGATGAAACGACATCAGGGGATGAGTCACACAGTCCCACCGCGTACCTATCACAGGTGAAAGAACTACCAACGTCAACTGATGAACCGGAAGAAATCACGATCGAAGATAAGATCAATAGCATAGAGGTTAGTGTGAAAGGAGATTTGCATCGTCACATGGACTGATGTCATGACGATCACAAATCTCTAATTTCTGAGAAATCT